GGGAATTTTCCCCGCCACACCATTGTATTCATTTTCGTTGTTCATGCCTTGTAAATCCAATAAAAACGACATGCTTTAAAAAAAAAAAGGGACTCTATGCAGACCTTCATTTAAAACAGCTTGCTACCTGGCTGCCAAGCTGATATAAATGAAGTCATTTTCAGGCCTAAAATGTGGAATATAACATGGGTGCAAAAAATGAAAAAAGGGCCTCAGTCATGAAGGGGTTAATACATTCTGAAGCATTCAACCTGAACTGGCAAACAGATTAAGAATTAGGACTTCATCCACTCCAATGCAGGAGCTGCGTACTTATCGATAACGATTGTCAACGATTCTCATTATAGATTAGTTGATTCTTCGATTAGTTGTTACATGGGCTCTGTGTCCCTTCCCATTCCTGCTGCTCCCAGCAGGGATGGGAGGGGACACAGACCCCTGAAGCCAGTGTCGAGCTCCAAACCTCACTCTCCTATAGCCAATAGCAGGCTGGCTATTGCAGCCGCCCACTGCCTGCTGTCAGTCAGCAGAGGAGTACCTGAAGGAGAAATTTTTATTTTATTTTTTTTGTGTTATTTTAAATAAAAGTTTTGTTATTTTATTATATTAGCTTGGAACTTTTCAATTCAGATTATTTTAAATCCATGAAACCAATTACAATTTCTAACATAATACATACAATTATTAAAAAAAAAAAAATTCTACAAAGAGGTGAGTAGAGATCTGGATTTTGCAAAAGCATTTGACAGTACCTCATATACCCTTAACCCCTTCATGACTGAGGCCATTTTTTCATTTTTTGCACCCATGTTATATTCCACATTTTAGGCCTGAAAATGACGTAAAACCCCCCAACATTATATATTTTCTGAATGCCCTATAGAAGTCGGCTCTACAAGTTTAAACAGAGTCCCGGCGGCAAAAGTCGCCGGGAGTCTGTTTAAACAGCCCCGATGCTGGCGACGTACACTGTACGTCGTCAGTCACGAAGGGGTTAATATACAAACTGAGATCTATGGGCATAGATTAAATGATATGTACATGGATAGAGAACTGGCTACAGGAATGTGTCCAGAGAGTATTGATAAACGTCTCTTTTTCACAATGGTCTACAGCAGGGGTCCTCAAACTACGGTCCGCGAGCCAGATTCAGCCCGCCAGGGTCCTTAACCCGCCCCACTTGGCCGCACGCCCCTTGCCATAGCCGTCAGGGATCTCAAGACTCCCAGAGTTCAGGGAGTCTCCCACTATTAGATAGCGGCTCCCTGATGCCCACGAGAGAGGCATTTTGCTCTATCTAGTAGAGTAAACCTTTCCGGTAAGGTATCAGTGGGTAAGGTTTTACTGAAGGCATCTCGGCCTTTTGGCTAAGATCAAGTGTAGTATCAGTTCTTATCAGTGGCGGGAGGGGAAAGGAGCTGCTGTACTGGCCTTTTGGCTAGTATGGTTGGTCTCCGAGTACTATGCCTGGTGACGGCGGTTCCTAAAAGGCTCGGCAATGAGGAGGAAGCCGAATTTAGCGTCCACTCACGTAAGGGTGGGGGTCGGGAGTACTCTTCGGCGATGGGTTCTGGCAGGGCCTAGTACCTCCTGATATAGACGGTCTACCTTGTCTGGCTATGGGCTGGGAAGGCACGAAGCCTGTGGTACTGTGCCACCCTGAGAGTGGCGTCTCAGGGTTTGCCGGAAAATCATTTGGGTTTGGGACCCCACCTGATTCACCGACACTGGTCACGGCACTCATATTCTTCCTGCACCACACCTCTTATGCAGGCCTTCTGGCAAGCCTGGGGCAAATTTTATACCTTGGCCGGATGGCCTGCCAGGTTTGTGCACTGGCACATATTTTATTCAAGCACTATTTTTATGCACGACTGCACTTTTTGACTTCACAGAATGACAGAGGGTTCAGGTACCTGTTTGTTCACAGGGGTTTTGTTTACAATGCACGCTCCACGCTTCAAAAAAAATGAAAAAATCAGTGGATAAGGTTTCAGAGTGAGGCTTGCCTCCTGGAGGAAGGTCGTGTGATCTCTAGAGCAGCCTCAGAATGAGGCTTGGCTCTCGGAAGGAAGAAGCTACTTGCTGGACAGAGAGGGCAGACATAGACTACTATTGAGAGTAGGTACAGGCACTGAGATCTACTGCTGCAGGGTTGAGAGAGTGCCGTTAACCCTTTGTGGATAATATAGAATAAATTATATGTCCAGGTTGTCTAGTTATAAAGAACAATTATTTCATTTGCTGCCCATAGCAACTAGTCAACTGTGTATCAGGGACTTAACTCATCAGCGTTTTTAAAAAGGTCTTAGGCTGCCTAATAAATTGTGACATTTACACTGAGAGATACTTGAACATCAATTCACAAATCTAATTTTTTATAATATATATATTTTTTTATTCGGCCCCCAACAATGTCTGAGGGACAGTGAACTGGCTCCCGGTTTAAAAAGTTTGAGGACCCCTGGTCTACAGTAATGAGAGGTGTGCCCGAGGGTAATGTGCTAGGCCCAATACGGTTTAATAATAATAATCGGGGAAGGTATTAATAGCCATGTTTATGTGTTTGCAGGCGATACTAAAATTGGGGGGAGTATTTCATGTACCAGTTAGCCAGACAGTGCATCCACGAAAGCCACTTCTTGTTCCGAGAACTTGACCTCTCTTGTTCCTGCTGACATGATGAGCTTGGTAGGTAACATTGGTGGCCCGTTGCATTCCCTACGGAAAGAAAACACATTACAGGGAAGAAGGTCAACTTGTTCAAAGACAACAAATCATAAAATGTTTTACGTACAAGACAAACTAATAAAGCTATTGCTTTACAGTGCAGTATGTGATTGTACAAAGAGTAAAAAGTTATAAAAAGAGGAAAGATTCAAAAAATGTTCACAACGTCTGTTAACTAGTAACCTCATACTCTCATTATTGAAGTCAAGTCAATAACCTAAATGTGAAACCTCAAAGAAAATCTGTCATTTAAATGCTGCAAAGTGCAGGAACCCAAAAGGTGACTGTGCATAACTTTAGCAGACTTTAATACATTGCTTTTCATGCCATTCTGACAGTCTCAGCTCCAACTTCCAGATAGTCAGTGTTACTAAAATTCAGCCAGATAGCCCTTGCTAACTTGGTGCTCCTTCTGCCCATAAGGCTACAAGCACACGGGGCATCTGTCTATGACTGTCCCCATATAATCATATATGGAACGATTACCTGATAGATGATTGTCCCTGGATACATTGTCTGTGTCCTGGGACATTAATTTATTGCAAACCGCCGCAATTGTTCCATGTACAATTAAATGCAGACAGCCACAGACAAATGCGGCCGCTGTCAGCCTGTCATTCAAATGAATGGGCACAGCGGCCGCATCTGTATGGACCCACCTGGGATTCCCGGCGTAAGATTCCACAAATTTGTAGCCACAGAAATCCCCAGCCACACATAAAAGCCTTAGAATCCAACATATGCACTAACATGAGTTCTGCTCATTCCCTGAAGAACTTATGATGCGCAGATTCCCATTAGATCTACTGACAAAACTTGTTCTCAGGTTGTTTTACTAGTTCTGCACTAACATTGCACTGGGCCCATGTGGGGCAGCACCAGAAACTTAGTCATCACAGCTAGAGTCTTTCATTCACTATCAGAGCTGAACTGGAAGCATTTCGATAGAAAAGCAGATTGTTTGGTGGCAGGCAATGCTTTCAGAAGCTTTGGGAACAGAGTTCTGGCCTTTGTCAGCTGGTGGTTAACTGCAGCCTCAAAAACTGAGCAAGGACAGAGAAAACATTTTACAGGTAGACAGTAACGAATAACTTCCCGGAAAGAGGTTTTTTCCCCCCAGACTGGACTTGCTTTAGCAGTGAGATGATCAGATTCCAGTCACGACACTCTGACTAAGGCGCTGTAAAGGCTCAACGAAAACAAAAAGCGTAGTGTTCATGCAGAGTAATGCATCGCAACTGCTAAATGGTTTCCATAGGAACTCGGCCAACAACACATCATATACTATTTCAAGTTCAATTACTGGTCTGTCAGCAGTCACACTAGTTACAGTGTTCATTCTTCACCTTCCAAGGCAGATGGAAAAACCAAAGCTAAATGTATGCTACCACTACCAAATGGCGGTTTACAAAAAA